TCTCCCTTTACCCTCCCTGTTTTGCCACTCACACCACTGGTCCTATAGGGCTCATCCATCCTGGATTCCCTGTATTTTCACGTATTCAAACTTTAATTACAGAAAATCTATACTGTAGGACAGATCCTTGGTGGCAGAGTGAGTTGCAGCATGGGCGACTAACCCCAAGGTCAGCAGTTTGAACCCATCCATTGGTCTGAGAGAGAAAGGCGAGGCTCTCTGCTCTGACTCAGAGGATCACCGAACTGTACTTCACTCAGTGGCAGTGGGTAGCCGTACTGTAGGAGTGAGGGCTGTGTGGTGCCTTACCTTTTTGAAATGGAAGAATGTACTTTTTAATACATCATGGTCCAAAGGATTCTTGTTGTAGTGTTAATATCTAATACTATTTTTGTGTCAAATATATACATATGTTAAAATATTTCCTGAAGATATTTGAAAAGCACTGTATAAAAACCTCTTTTTCTCACACCAAGTACATAGGATTCAGCACTGGTTTTTCTAATTATTAAAAGTATATGCACCCGTGGGTCACCAATGTCTGGATTTTTCTTTCCTTTGCTCTGTTCAAGGGACTTGAAAACTAACAATGGGTACGAGGCATTTTGTAATTCTCAAACGCATTTTCATTTTATTTGCCTGCAAGGAAATGATTTTGTATAGGGATTAGGCATCTGGAATCATTAATAGCAAGTTTAAAACAAAACAAAACATCATTGTGGTTGCTATTGCAACTGGCGTTCACTTATTTTTAGCTGAGGGTTTAACCTACCCAAATCTGGAATGGATGATTGTTTCTCAGTACAACTCCTCAAAGAACTTCCTTTCTCGCACAGGTGGTATTCTATGATTAATTGATTAAATAGAGCTGAACTTGTTAAAGTTTCAGCCCCATTCAATAATGCAGGGGATATGTCATCCACCTATTGTTGTGAAATAAACCCAGGAAACTCCACCCTCTTGCCATCAGTAACTACAAGGCTCCTTCGTGATCGGCTGACGATTAGCATCTCATCATCTTCCAATCTGGAAGCCTGCCAACCTCTCAACTTGAGAAAATGCTTTAAAAATAAAAGGTAAAAACTATCAAGTGAACAAGTTACAAATGTCAGAGTGTGTGATGCGCACGGTGGTTCTTCGGTGCGGACTCCTTAACAAAGCACTGCCTCGCCTCCTGTGGCCTCCCCATTCAGGTGATGTTTGAGTTCACTACTGCAGCCACTGAAAATCCATCTCCTTGAGGGCCTTCCTCTTTGTTGAGAAGGATCTTTTACCAAAGGATACTTTACCAAAGGAGCCCTGGTGGCGACAGTGGCTACAGGATGGGCTGCTAACGACTATGTCAGCAGTTCATAACCACCAGCTGCTCCTCGGGAGAAAGGTCTTTCTCCTCCTGTTAAGAATTACACTCTCAGAGGTGGCTCCACCCTATCCTGTATAGTCGCTTTGAGTCAGCATCAGCTTGATAGCAGTGACTTTGGCTTTCTCTTCTAAGCAGCGTCGTGTTCTTTCCCAGACTTTAATCTCTCTTGATAACATGTCTAAAGTATGTGGAGGTGTGTAAAAACACATCTATTTCAACAGTGTTAGCAAGGGAGTAGTATCGCTTTACAGGTGAGGAAACTGAGACTCAGAAATAACTATGTTCAAAGAACAGGCCGGTAGCCATACCAACATTTCTTAGAGCTGGAGGATAATTCCACGTGGATGTTCTAGCCTTTATCTTACAATGCAGGTGCTGACTTGTGTTTCAGGGGAAAGAGCCCAAATGCAATAGATTTATAAAGAGACCCCTTTATTAAATGTTAAACAAGACAAAGTCAAAAAGCACAGCATCTGGAGAAGGGTGACCGTGAGCATGAGGCCATCCAAAAAGAGTGTTCGGGAATTTACAATCCACGCGGCTACTTTAATAAGACCAGGAGCACACCGGAAACTCCCAAAGCCATGACTGGAGGCAGATCAATTCATCAGAGTTGTAGGCAGCACAACAGTATGGGAAAAGGGCCCTAACTGGGTGATTGGAATACACACACTATTGCAGATTAGAAAAGTTTACAAGATTGGTGGCTCAAGGCCTGAGATGGCATAATACTTTGCTCATGGGGATTTATTACCCTTATTTCCATCACAGGCATGCCCGTGCAAGTCCCTGAGGGCCAGACTACCTCTCCCTGGACTGGCCCAGGGGGGTCACAACAAACACTGATCAAGGGCGAATTTCTTTCATTGCTGCTTAATACAATTTAGTGGATGCTGATGTGGTGACTCCAAATGGATTTGAGGGGCCTACTGTCAACTATAGCCTTCCAAAAACCTAGGGCTCCGAATTTAAGCTCTAGTACACTTGTCAAGGTCACGGCGCTGATCAGATGAAGACTCCTTGGGTATGAGTGCACGTGTCTGACCTAGGACACGCTGCTTTTTCTAGTCCATCAACACTTTGTCTTTTAAATTCTCATGTCCTTCATTCTGACAGTCACGCTTGCCTTTCATCCCCAGTACTCCCCAGTCTGTGTCAGCAGCCTCAACTGCTAACGCCAAATACCACAGCCTACAGCACTTCTTCCTGCCTATCACGACCTGCCCAGTGTACATGGCCGTGTCACTCTCTTCCACTCTTAGCTCACCAGATCTGTGTTCTTTTTAAAGCTACCACATTTAAATACATTCCCCTTCCTTCCTCAGTCTTATTTTAAATTCCCATTCATTCATTAACTCTTTGGGTTATCCTCTTAGTAGTCCACTCCTCTTATTGCATCTCTTGTAGCTATTTCACTTGATGACTTCTGGAACCCTGCTCCCTCAAGAGTCTAAGCTACAAATCCAATTAACTTCCATGCTGGTGACACCACCCACCTCCCGTCTCCTTCGCCACCCACCTCATCCCTGAGTTACCATAGCAAACAGTGTCACCTCACCGCTCCCTTTTTGGCCTTCCCTTGCTAAAAACCGTTTGCTCTTTTCCTGACCATGGCCTATTGCTAAGTGCCACAGAGTTATTAGCTTCAACTCACTGCGACCCCCTGCACAACAGAACAAAACGCTGCCCGGGCCTGCCCCAGCCTCACAGTCATTGCTGTATCTGAGACCATTGGTGTGACCACTGAATCAATCCATCTTGTTCAGGGCCTTCCTCTTGTTCACTGCCCCTCTATTTAACCAGACATGATATCCTCCTGGAATCATCCTCCTGGAAGTGTCTACTACCAAGATCTAAATTCCTTAGCCTGGAAGTCAGTGCCTGTCCCTCCTCAGACACACAAACCTACGGCAACACCTCCATTTCTGGCCACCTCCTGTGATTCCTCTTTGGAGGAATAAATCCTTCTGTCAAA